GATACTCATTTATTCGACTTGACCTGCCCTCCAACTAGGGTTGCCATACGTCATGAAAAAGCAGGACATGTCCTGATTATCGATGTGTCCCGCCGTCCCACCAGGGTTTTCTTTGTGTCTGCCAAATGTTCTGAATTTTTCTACTTTGCTATAATTCCACGCATTCCTACAAAAAACAGTGTTTTGGGACTTCTTGTGAACTGCATCTTTGAACTATGTGCTACACGAGAGAACGCAAGCGGCTAATTCCTTTATTAAGCAAATTTTGTCTTTTTACGGGCAAAGGGAAAAAGGGTTCAGTGAATAACAGTATTATAATGTTGACCTAAGTCATGCCTTATTTAATATTTAATTTAAATACCTTGAAATACTTCACAAATGTTGTCATATAAAAATAAGGAAATAGGCCTGGATAACCTTCAAAAATCAGGAAAATTCGTCCTAGAAAAAGAGTGGTCACCCTGATATTCTTGAAATTGAGAAATGTAATTTATCTTGATCTGCTATGTAATTGTATAAAAATAAACAACTTATTCTAAAACGTATTTCGGGTGTCCGGAATTCCATTGTTATCTTCTGGCAACGTTGATTACAACAATTGATCTAAAAAATATTTAAATTATATTATTACATAATAATCATATTATTATAATTAAAATATATAATTATTATATTATTAAAATGCTATTACTCCTACAATTAATTATACATACAAATTTATGCCACCAATTAGCTGTTGCATCATGGTAATATAGTGATAGAAGCACAGTCTGCCGCAACACTTAGGAACAAATTCTATACAGTGTAGTCACGAGACTAGTGTGGGACACAACTATGGTGCAAAGACATGAACCTCCTCGCATTCTATCCAACTTCTCAGCAATGAACTTTATGCACCAGTATCCGTCACATTAGTACCGGAAATTGTAAATACAGATACCGAAATTATCATCTTGCTACAAGTCATTGAAACAGATACATGCAGCTTTTTTTAAACACTCCATCTTTTATTTCAACTTCACTTTAATCATGTTATTTTTGGTTTGTCACCGTTGAAAATTGTTAGTTTGTACCACTTTTAAAAATGTTTCTCAACACTTCCCGCTTGCTATGCAGCATTTTAAACAGATTTTCATGCAGATTTTCAAATGAAGTGCCCTTGTTGTAATCATGTGGTTTGTGACGAATCTGGTGCGGCGCAAAACGAGAAAAGTCAGTACGCCGGATCAGCATACACAGATCTTTGCATCATGGACTCAAGTCACATAAATACAATTGCTCAATCTGGTTGAGTAATGTTTCCGCTGTTACTTCTGCGCAGTGTGGAGTTCGCGCGTGCTCAGAGGCTTCAAAATTAGGTTAATAGCGTAAACGCCAAGGTGATTCTCGTAGTGCAAATACTCTTTTGCGACGTGCAGCAACAGGAATAGATAGGAGGTTATTCTGTAAATTATTGTTGTATCACTGAAACTCGCCTTTTGGTGTTAAATTTTCAAAAAAATGTGTTACTGTCTGTTGTTTTGTAAGTAATAAAGTTGCACTAATATTAAACTAAAATAAATTCATTATACGCCAAATAATAGCGAGTACTTACCGCCGGCACAAAATGCAAAGGGTCTTTGTTGTCACAAGACACGAGTGTCAGTATTGACCCTGCAACTGCCGTCGCTGCCTCAAGCAACAGAAGAATTTCATCCTGTAATGACAATTCACACACTCAACGCAAGATATGGAAACATTAACATACATGATACCGATTAATGTAAGAAAATATTAGTATTGTGCAATAATCGGGACTTTACGTTGAAAATATATTATGTTGTCGAAGACTTACAAAATCAAATCGAGTGCGCTTTTCAAGTCGATTTCACGTTTTGGGAAGAAACGACTCGTAAAATTGTGACAAAATGTCAAACAAGTAATCTTGAAGTTGATAGTTCCAAGTAGAGAAAATCCACGAAAACAATGTAACATTACGTAACCGTTTGCTGTTTTGATATCATTGGTAGTTTTTATCTTGAACAGATATATTTTTCTGTGGAGATGACCTTCAGTTTTTTGGACTGTCTGGTCTTGTTTATTAATTATCTCTGTTGACATGCAGAATTTCCGTCATTCTCTTCATATAATTTACTAGAACCATACATGACAGACTTATATTACTGGCCTATTACATATTTTTACCTTTTCTACTTGCTTCACTACCCAAAGTGTTAATTTTTTGCTATTCGGTCTTGTTTGCTCGTTATTCATTTTTTCCCCTGAATATACTCTGTAGAACTCGCAACAAAACACATTTCAAAATACGAAAACATTACAGCACCACATTACAAACAAAAACTTCCTTCTCCCCACGGAGCAGCACATGAACTCAAAACGAACCGTTTGTGTCGCTACCAGCCACAACCCCCACACAGTTTCGTGTAGCAGTTCATGTGTCGTCCGCCAAGTCAAACTAATTAGAGTAGCAATTAAACGCCTCGTTCAACAGACGTAATTTATAGCGAAGCGCCTTTTTGGATGACGCTCCCGGGGACGGATGGATTCTGGGGCGCCGAGTCTTCTTTTGTTTGTCAGCGGCGTCTAATTACATCGCCCAGCAGACGCCGCGCCGGAGGCGCTGAGGGCGCGGGCTGCAAGGCGGGGGGGGGCGGCGAGGGGAGCGCGTTTGGGAGTGGAGCACTGCAGAAGCGAACACCGTTGGCGAGGGCTGAACAACACTGCTTGCAGGTACTGCGAAATCGCTTGGAGTAGTATTGACTGTTAAGAGATTGAGCCTCATTTTGTGACATTTGTGATCGCGTACATAATATTGGTAATGCAGAGTAATACTCTTGGGTTTATTGAACAAAAAGTTAGAAAAAAAATATGAACATTCTTTATTTAATAAATCGATATGAACGATACAATGTTTGTAGATATTTATAAACACGAATAAAATATTTACAGAACTCTGCGAATAGATATTCAGGCGGCAAGGCGCAAGTACATGATGAAAACAGTCAATTCCTTTCGTGCACATCGTAGGGAATCTGGTGCAACGTTTGGTATGTATATTGGGCTTGATTTTTAAAATCCCTTGTAACAGAATATAACTGTTTTCGATAACACTGCAAACACAAATTCATGACGCATAAAATAATAGATCAACATGAGTATTCCAAACAAAATATATCTGTGCCGATGTTCGCGGTAAACTTGCGGTATCGCATCTTAATCGTAAGGCGTGAAAGAAAAAAGCTGTTGGCGTGCATGTCACTTGCGTTAAAAGCATGTCATAATGTGAAAGCTGGTTCTTAGATGATCATACGAAAATTGGAATTCTTTGTATCATGGCCACAATCATGGATGATCCCGGGAGCCTTTCTGTTTCTTAAAACTGTAGTCTGTATAAGGCCGGCAAGGCGCAAGTACACGATGAAAAACATATTTAAATTATTTTTACTTTTCATTTTCATGAAGAAACTTCCGTCATGTGCATTTCCTTTCTTCTTGAACTGACAGTACGAGATCATTAAAAGGCCAAGAATCGAGATAATTGTAACTTTTTTACGTTTATTTTGTTCAAATGTTCATGTGCCTACTCATTGTTTCACACATGTTCATGGAATTTGTAAAGAGAAATTAATTAACTATTCCCTTCTCAGGAAAAGAAGATATGTAAATATAATCCCGAGAACTAAGTAACATAAAAAAATTGAATACCCAAATTTGACAGGAGAGAATCTCTTGAAAACTGTTTAAAAGTTATATTCCATGAAAATGGATTCGTTCATCCTTCTTTAAGAATTTCTGGATGTTTGACGATTGTTGTTTATCAATCGTGAAATTCAACCTTGTGATTGATGATTGTGTTCAGTGCTGAGTAAATAACATTTCAAAGCAAACTTGTCGGGTTATATTTCCGAGCGTCGTCTCGACTGTGACAGAAAATCGATAGGATTGCCAGGTGTGCTACCGGAGAGGATATATTGGGAAGACGTCGAGTTGGATCTGGTGAATTTCCGCCGGGAAATATTCCCTTTTCTGCAGACGTAGCGAGATAAGTAGAAAACCTCTGAAGTGCCAGTTTCGGAACGTGACCGGCGTCTGTCTGGAATATTCGGAAGAAACGAGAAAATGTCCGATCAGAATAACCGTCCAGACTTTTCATCCAAGCACTGGCCGGCCTCGCTCTAACTCGCTAGCTGTTGCAGGAAATCAGCTGTCGGGACACGAACCTATCTTCTCCCATGGAACAATAACCATAAGAATTTAATTTTAAATGTTAACATAGCACACGGACATATACAATTTTTAATTATAATTCCTTCTTTCAAAAAGGAATGCAGATTTGGAAGGTTCAGAAGACACAGCCTAGATTACTTCCAACAATGACTTCATTAACGTAAAAAAAATCAGTTGTGGTTTTATTGCAGTTGGTACCGCACCAAAATGTAAAAGGATCGAACAAATTTGACGTCTATACCCATTAGCCTCCTCTCATTTCATAGTAAGATATGAAAAGTCGTTGAATTTAGTTGATGTTTTTTTAAGACGGGTACGATGAATCGAGAAAAATAATGCAGTGAGGATCCCGCTTCCAACAAATAGGTTGTAGAATACGAAACTAAAAAATAATAGCTCTTTTTGAAATATTGGGATACTTTTTAGACAAACAATCATTTAAAGTTTGATATTTATATTTTTTCAAATTAGATTAATTATTGAAGCGATTGTCATGGTTATCTTTGACTGGAGGGGGAAAAAACGTTATCCTTACGAATTTCAAGCTTGGTGCTCTTGCATGTAGCTTTTTGTCGCGTTTCTAATCGCTGGTTCACGGAGACTACATGAATGATTGCTGCCAAATGTACCAACCAATTTTTAATGCGCCCAATACGTGTATTGCTTAGCTTCTCAACACGACTGCTACGATCGTGCGTCTTACGTGGAAGAAATTGGATTCCGGGAAATCACTTACAACTTGCAAACTTTTCGTCGTGGTAGGCCAGGAGGTGGTGCGATCTACTGGTAATTTTGGGAAGCAGTTCAAGGTTCATTCCAAAGAGCTTCATATAAAATGAATTTTCTAATGTTTTTGAGAGAATTCGCGGTTGTTTTTTCCTAAAATTAAACGATCTTGAACGCGGGAAGTTTGAAATGTTTCATCTTTACTTCTTAAATACCTTCAAGGAGTAGCCAAACTGAATAAGCTAAAAGCGTGGCGCCAAATTTGAATTAATTTTACCGCCTATGCCAACTACTGTTTTGCAGATGTTCTGACGCTGTCATAGAGATTTCGTGTACCTGCGAAACATGAATGCATGTTGGGTTGCCTTCCAACAGGGGCAAATATAATGTTCAACTTCATTGTAATAAATGTCGCATCAAAAGTTCTTTGGCAATGGTGATTTTTGTCCTAAAATACGGAAGAGAATAGATCTTGCAGGTTTGTGCAGGAAGTCGGTACTAAGACGGGGCAATAACATGCTTCGGAACTCGAGACCTGCGGGGGCAGAGAGGTTAGATATGCTTGGCTGCGGCTCACATTAGGTATTTACAACGTTGCCGATTAAGGAAAAGCTACGAGAGTTGAGTTGAAAACGCACTGCCAGGTTCATCTAAATACTGTATCATTTCGTAAAATAAACCAAAATTACCAGATTAATACGAGGAACAAAAGTAATTAAATTACTTGTAAAAAATGACCAAAATATTTAATAAAAATGCGACCGATAGGAGAGAAGAAGAGAATAAATCCTTAAGAGATAAGATCGTGTCCTCCCTCCCTGCTCCTCTAGAAGACGAATGAGAGGTGTCCGTACTGGTCAGCTACGCGCTTGTACTTTAGTGCAATCGTTGGCTTCCGCGGCCGAAGTCATGTGAAGGCTCTCGCACGCCGCGTCGAAGGCAGAGATGCCGACATTTCGGCCATCGCATCGAAGTCCTGAAGAAGTCAACGATAGGATGGTCAAAAGGCGCGCATCACTGCCCTCGACGTGGCGTCTCGCAGGAGGCCGAGAGCCTTCACTCGTACGCGCGATTGCCCCCATGAGCAGCCTACTCTGCCCTAGACTGAAATGTATGAAAAAGCTGGAAGATGGATGTTTCAACAAGAACAGTTTATTGGGCCTTTTTGAGTTTTACAAACAAGAGCCACAATCCAAATCATTCAATAAACGATTCCTAGTGTACCACTTGCCAGAAAAGAAAGTACCAGGTCCTTAGCTGTTCGCCGTGTTACCAGATGTACCAGCTCGTAGCCTAATTCACAATAATCCAATAGAATAAACGGATCACTGGCGTGGTGGCGAAACTATCAGAATCTCTGAATCGCGCTCGATAGTACTCGATCTCAGTTACAAACTATTCTGCTCTTGCGGGCGCAGAGCCACCCGATATATACACGTCACCGCGGCTGGCCCAGACTCGCTCCCGTGGCTAGCTGTCTGGTGGAGCAGATACTGGCTCGCTGCTTTGTAGACTTTAATATAGAGTGCGCGCCGTGCCGTGCGCGCGCGCACCGACTTTAAAACCAGCTGTGCACACAGCATACACGTTTCTAACACGACAGGCTCTCACAGACTGACGCGGGAGATCCGCGGTGGGTGCGGCGCGGAACACTCCGCGGTAGACGCGGCGGCGGAATCCGCGGGACCGTTCACACTGGAACGTCAATTATGACTCAGCGTTTGGTGTCAGTTTTCCTCATCCGATACACAAAAGCAAGGGGAGCTCGATCCGGAGGGGAGTGAAGACTCCTGAATTCGGGTGGACTTCCTCGAAACTCGAGCGACAGCGGTCGAAAAGCGTCTGTCTGCGTTTCAAAATCCGCAGATAATAAAACGCTGCCAATCCGCTGCCGCGACACTTGCCTGCCGCGCAGATCTGAACGTGCTCATAAGGCAACACGAGACGCGAAATTTCCACTGCGGCCTCTCCACGGAGTCTGCAAATCATCCCCTCCGGTCTGTGGGAGCCTGTATTCGTAGCAACGAACTATAATATACTACATAGAGTGGCTGAAACGCCTCCAACTTTGAAGGAAATTGCAGCCATGTTTTTTGCAGTCAAACGGCGCCTTCTGGGAAACAAAATATTCTATACTGCGATATATCCAACTCTGCCCCTGACAGATCTCAGCTCACGGTTTCATCCAATCGGAAGCTTGAACGTCACAACAGTGACGTCACTTACGTTTAAGCCAAGTTGCGAAAGTCGCTGTATAGCATTACGTTTGGTGCTGGTTACGAACGGTTACACCGCCATTCGTATTATCCGCGCACGTTTTCTTGAGCCCTAGCTTCGCTAGTTGCGAAAGAGTGTGGAGTTATGGTTATTTTGACGAAAGGAATTTTGTAACAAACTTGTAGTTTGTTTTTCGATATAAAATATTTTCTATTACACAGGAGTGAACATTTCTGGTTGTCAGATTTTGTCTACAACACTCGTTGCTATCGTTTATTCTTCATTCAACTAATGTGGGTAAAGGAGGGGGGTAGGTATTCCATGGCTCAAGAAAATGTGCGCGTATAATATGTTTTGGCTTCAAAAAACATGGCGACCACTAGTTCGGCGAGCCTCCACCAGGAGCGCTGAACCTATAGGGACAGCCACTCTATCGAGTGTAGTCTATCTCGTTGATTCCGAGCCACGCATCTATCCAAGCGGAGCGCGCCAAGCGGAGGACTCACCGCCTTCACCCAGGCCGAGAGGTTGTCGTCCGGGAAGCCCAGCGTGAAGAGCGCGTACGTGGCGACGAGCAGCACGCCCACCGTCAGGTGCAGCGCGGGCGGCAGCGCCGAGAACCAGCCGGGGGCGTCGTCGCACGTGGGCGCCGCCAGGAACACCACCCCCGCCGCGAAGAACACCAGCTGCGTACACCGCCACACCACACACACTCTCTTACTCAAGCGCGTATTCTACGAAGCGACAAAAGTCATGGGATGGCAATGTGCAAATATACAGATGGTAGTAGTATTGCGTACAAAAAGGTATAAAAGGGAAGTTCGTGAATGTTCAGTTCATATAAGTTCACGCTGTTCTGTCTTGTTCAGCACTCTACCAAATCTCGAGACGTTCCCCTCTTCTAAATTCTACACCATAAACCAAATAAACCACACTCGTTGCTTGTTTCTTCATTTCGCGCAGCTATTTTTAACTATTTTTACACTCGGGTGACAAATGTCATGAGGTAGCAATATGCAAATATACATATGGTAGTAGTATTGCGTACAAAAGGTTCGTGAAAGTTCACGCTGTTCTGTCTTGATCATCACTCTACCAAATCTCGAGTCGCTGTGCCCCTCTTTCAAATTCTACACCATAAACTAAACAAATCACACACTATTTGATTGTTTCCTCATTGCGCGCGGCTAGTTTTAACTATTTTTACATTCAGGTGACAAATGTCATGAGGTAGCAATATGCAAATATACAGATGGGAATAGTATCGAGTACAAAAGGTATAAAAGGGCAGTGAATTGGGTAGAGATTTCATTTGTACTCAAGTGATTCAAGGGAAAAGGGATGTGACGTGATGATAGCTTCACGATAGGAATTAACACACTTTAAATGCGTAATGGTAGTTGGAACTAGACACATGGGGCATCCATTTTGTAAACCGTGAAGAAATTCAATATTTCGAGAGCCACAGAGTGTGCCGAAAAACCTAATTTCAGGAATAACCTCTCACCACAGACAACACAGCGGTCGGATCTCGCCATCTTGCTGGGGTAGATAACCGCCACTCACAACAATAAAAACATGCACTACACTTACAGGTATAATGACCTTCATGCTTGGTGAGAGCAGGGCTTTTCGGGGCTGGGCAAGACGGGGTGGGGTGGAGTGGCAGAAGCAGGGCGAGGTGGAACAGCGGGGAGTTACAGCTTACAGAGAAGCGGAGCAGGTTTGTTAATTAAATTGCTTTCATTCATTTAAATTAATTTATGAGAAATTAACTGGGAACGCCGGGTACTTCAACCAGTTTTTTTATTAAACGCTTTCATTTAAAGTGTTCCGCCAATGCCAAAACCCGTAACTCGTTTTCTTATTTCTTAGCTAGACGTATAAATATTTCAAGAAGTTAATAATAAGTATATGGGTAATACGTGATTGTTCTTTTTGGCTGTTTTACATGCGCACTACTTTCCAGGTATTACAGAAACGTATATTAGGAAAAGAGTCGAAAACAATAATTTCCAGCTGCATTGATGAAACTTTTACTTCTTGTTACTTAAAGTCGCATCAACATCTAGGTCATTAGCGACCACTATTGCCTTTAACGGGATGGTGACTGTGGAGATAACATGATATAGTGATGATAGGGGGGATGAAAGAACGACAACCACCACAACCTTGCCCGAGGCAGTACACGAACCCCCGATCCTTCGGTCCGGGATCGTTATGGCACTACTGCCGTAACGATCTCGGCTATCCCGACCAGCCACGAAGCTTTGAAGACTTACCACATCGGTATTAATACACATGTTGATCATGGAAGCACTGATTTCTCATTTCTCAAACAAAATGAGGTGAAATAAAATGTTATGAAAATGCTCATTATTATAACTTGGTTTATTATCTTCATTGGAAGAAAATTTCTGGTTTTCGGAGTGTGTTCCAAAAAATTATTAAATCACGAATTTGTTAAAAGAATTTTACTATTTTTATTTCATATTCAATATTACGTCGATATTTGTGACGAATTACTTTTACTTTCAAAGACTACTCTAAAGAAGCTGGTAATTTGTTTCCAGGATTAAATGAACATTTCATTCTTTAAACTTTGCATATAATGTAAAAGATTTGATATAACGACTGACAATGATAAATTAGTAAATCGTTCAAAATAACATGTGTTATATCTCGTCCAAAAATCAGTATGTAAATGCTAACAAATTACATTTCTTGAAATCTCAGAATCGATATGCTGCATTTAGTGTTAGTTCCTTTTGTAAAGCGTTTGATACGTGAACATTGTTCGTTATCCGAACATAAACGTGTTTGGAGAAAGTGTTGGCTATCCGATTTGTTGGCAATCCGAACAGTTTTTGTCAACCGTTCACCGAGTGGGTCACTTATCTGTAGTTGGTCGCCAACGACTCCAGGGGAAAGTCACAGGAGCAAGTAAATCCGGCACGGGCGTGCATGCGGTGCCCGCTTATCGCGCGCCGCGCCGGAATTAATAGCGCCCGGCCGCCCGCCTTCGCCAGTCGATGTATTCCGAGGAGCAGAGGAATAAATCCGAGTTTTACGGCGCCGGGCGCTCACACTTTTACGATGGCGTGTATTAGATAACAGCGGCCCTTGCTAACAACCCCTGCTGCTGCCGCTGTAGCTGCTAACGCCAGCGAGAGTCGCGGCGCGGTTGAGGCAAAGGCAGCGGTGGAGGACGCGGTGGCGGCCCTGACGGCCTCAGTTTGATTAGTGTGCCCGTCAGAGAGTAAACTGCTAACGTCATTAATCCCGTAAGTGTAGCGCATGCTCATCTCGGGAGGTGGCGGTGTTTTTCCCCAGTGGATGGAGAGGTCTGACGTCGACCTTTACGTCGACTACTGGGTTTTACCCGCATCCAGGTATCTCCCACCAGCATGGCACCACTCCAGCCGACACAAGCTTAAGCTCCCGACTGGTCTCCCGAAATGTGTTATAGTGTAGAACACGTGTAAGAGGTGCGTGTTGGACGAGGACAGGGAAGGGAAGGTCGCGCGTGGTCCTTGGCATGTTTGTGAGGGTACTGCACCGGCATTCGTCTGGTGGTGATCGGAGAATCTACGGAAAACTACTGATCAGATCAGCCGGCAGCTGAATCTCTTTCAGACATCGATTGAATATTGTCGACAGTAGCGGCGTGATGGCGGCGGAGGGCTGTGTATGTGGTGGGCGGTGGCGAAGGACTGGTGCCGGTAGGGTGGTGGTGAAGGCGGTTTCGCGCGGCGGTGGTGAGCGTGGGGGGGGGTGCGGCGGTGGCGGGCGCGGGGTCCTCAGCGAGCGGCAGCACTCGCTTTTACGAGACATGCTAGGTCCAGGGGGCCGTGACCTCCCTGAGGCCGGGGTTCGACCCTGCCGGCAGCGCCGAGCTGCGCGAGGTCGGGGTTTGTTGCCCTCGCTTTTCTCGTTATAAAGGAAGCCTGAAAAATGCACTGGCTTCCTGAAAAAAGAAAGTAATTTACGCTTTTTCAAAGAAAACGTTTCTTTACAAAAGGTTTCGCGGAAACTTTCTTGAAGTTACGTATACAAGATAACATACCATAACGGTCGAACTGTACGATTAATGAAGATATGGAGTACTGGAAATGTTTGTTTATTTATCTAAAAAAATAAAACATTTAGTGACCGATAACTGCCACATTATTGCCCAGAAATAAAACAAGAGACCACCGCAACAATCGCTCTTTAAGTTAAGGAAAACTAAACGTATGTCATTCACGATTACTTGCAATTTACTCATAATGCAGCAAAATTATAACAATTATTTTAAGCACACTTCTACACTTCTTTCTTCAGTCTTGAAAATCAGTATTCATCCATAAAGTGCGTGGCCAGTGACGTTAAATAATTTCTAGAATAGTACCTGGTAACTCAAATATGAATTGCATCCACAGTATAGAAGATTTGCAGGAGCAGTTAAGACACTTAAGTTTATTGAAATCAATCCTAAAAACAATTTTTTAATAGTTACTCTGTGAACAGGATTTTTCTGGTTTCGGATTTTACGGTTTTACAGTTCACGCGTTCATTATTTCCTTATTTTCATATCTTTCCTGTTGAACTGACA